AGATATTACTTCGGTTGGCAATGACCTTGCTTTGCAAGAAGATATCAAAGCTCCTTATAAGCGTAGTGTACGTTTACATAATGCTCTACCNCTGATGAATTTCAGAGATATTACTTCGGTCGGCAATGACCTTGCTTTGCAAGAAGATATCAAAGCTCCTTATAAGCGTAGTGTACGTTTACATAATGCTCTACCCTTTCCTATAGCTATTTGGAATATATCGATATCACCAGATGCAAGCCAATATTTTTCGGTAAGTAAAAGTTTTTGTCATACTTCTTTCCGTTCATCAGCAGAGTCTTTCAAATGCATATTGGCATTATCAGCACAGCTTTTATTGTAAACCCTTGTTTAACAGTTGCTGGGCGCTCTTGTAGTATTGTGGTTATTGTTTTTGATGACTCTGTTTTCATAGAACTAACCTAATTACCTTCTAATCCTCAATCTAAAATCTAATCCGAGACTCAACCATACCCTTCTGAAAAAGCCTTTGACTAAACATCTTTGAGCTCTATTTTTCCGCGAATGCTTTGCCATGACTGATTTTTTGAAGGTCCGTCTATTCAATAAAACTACTGTGATTGGAGTTGGTGAGGAACAGCCAGTGTTCCTTCTTAAATACAACAAAAAAGTTCCTGACACATTCGGGCAAACCGTTTTTTATGTGCACACAAATATATCCACCTACAGAATTCAGCTATGGAAATACTCAGGACGAATTCAAGTTCGTTGTTGGCTTTCTCCTTCTCTTCCCTTTTCTTTTTCTTTTCTGAAAGTGTTCAGTTATGTTCTCGATTTACTCGACCTGTTTTAGGTTGAATTATTTTCTGTCGATCAAGAATCATTCGATTTTGGACTTTTGGAAAGGAACGACACCAGATCAATTAGAGTGAGTTAAGACGTGTACATTTTTTGTTGACTTTAATGATTTGTTCTTTGTATTTTGCGATGGCTCGACTGGTACTTTTGGGATCATTTCTTCGTTTTACAGTTCGTCATACGTAACAAGAACCATGCTATAATGACAGTTCGAGGTCTTTCTGTTCCTCGCCCTTCGATACACAGACTCTACTTGGTCTCAATACTTGGAAAGAATGCAGTAGGAACATGGGTGCCAGCCGAAAGTTGTGAGGAATGGGCGCAGGTAAATTCTGCTTGAATTTTTGTTGTTAACACCTTAAGCACTTGTTCAAAAGGTTGCAGTCATAATGTATCAAAGATTGTTTTGCATTACGTTATAGTTGGACATTGAGTTCTTAGACAACGGATGTGAGATAGTTGAAAGTGCTGATTTTGGATAGGCCACTTATTCTTCTCAATACCATGTTTGAATGGATGTAGTATCGTCTTGAGAATCAGAAAAAATGGTGAGGTTTGATAAAACCCTTCCTCAAGTGGGTAACTAAATCCTGGTGGTCTGACTCTGGAGTTCAATCGAAGATTTTTGAGTTAATGTCTCGTAAAATTTTGATAATTTTTTCTCAGTGACGGATGAACCGATTTTCAGATACCATTTCACCAATTAATCATTACGACTTTGCGTATTTTCTGTTGAATTTCAGGGCGCAGATTTGGAGATACCTCCTCACAGCGCAGCATTTTTCGATCTCGAGCTCAGATTACCATTAGATGAGCCGTTTCATCCTTCACAAATGGTAATTGCCACGGAATTCGAAAGCAAAGTTTTTCCAATCAAGTACGAGGTATGGTTTGATGTAAAAGTCAACATTTTAAAGCTTCTATCCTGTAGGACTTCTGAATACGAATACAGAGGTGTATTTCAAAGAAGTTTATTCCATTTTTCACCTTTAATTAAGAGTGAAAGTAGAAGTTTTTGAAGATGGTTTCATTTCTTAATTTCTTTTTTTTTCAGGTTGCACAGGGCAGCTTAACATCCATTCCGGATCGCATCTCATTTGGAAAAACACATCCAGGAAAAGTTGTGTACATGAACCTACAGGTAAAATTTTGGAGCTAGTCTTATTTAAAAATCGTTAACCATTCTATAGGATTGCATCTTCATTTTTCTTATACTTCTGAATTCCTGTAGGTGTTCAACTCTTTCGCGGAAGATATGAAAGTGACGCGACTTTCCACAACATCACGCGATCCACGTTTCTTCTTCGAAGGCTTTGATCCTGCCCATCCACCTGTGCTGAGATCTGGGCGTTTAACTAACCTAGGTAAGTGTTCTAATCTAAATGGGTTCTGTTACATCACTTACATACGGTTTTTTTTT